TAAACAGACCAATTACAATTAGCGAAATTGAAATGGTAATCAAAAACAAAAGCCCAGGACCTGATGGATTTACAAATGAATTCTACCAAACATTCAGAGACGAATTAGTGCCTATCCTTCACAAACTCTTCCAAAAAATTGAGAAGGAAGGGACAATACCAAACACGTTCTATGAAGCCAATATTACACTAATACCAAACCGAACAAGGACAACACTAAAAAGGAAAACTATAGGCCAATCTCCCTAATGAACACTGATGCAAAAATCCTCAATAAAATTTTAGCCATCAGAATCCAACAATGTATCCATAAGATAATTCACCACGACCAAGTAGGATTCATTCCAGGGGCACAAGGATGGTTTAACATCCGAAAATCAATCAACGTTATCCAACACATCAACAAAAAGAAATATAAAAACCATATGATAATATCAATAGATGCTGAGAAAGCTTTCGACAAAGTGCAACACCCATTCATGATAAAAGCCCTTGAAATTCTTGGGATACAAGGAACATACCTCAACATCATAAAGGCCATCTATGACAAGCCAACAGCCAGCATCATTCTCAATGGTGAAAAGCTGAAAGCAATTCCATTAAGATCTGGAACAAGACAAGGATGTCCACTCTCACCACTGCTTTTCAATATAATACTGGAAGTCCTAGCCAGGGCAATAAGACAAGAGAAAGACATCCAAGGAATCCAAATAGGAAAAGAAGAAGTCAAACTATCACTATTTGCAGACGATATGATATTATACATAGAGAACCCCAAAACTCCACAGAAAAGCTAATTCAACTCATCAATCAGTTCAGTAAAGTGGCAGGATACAAAATCAACATGCAAAAGTCAGTAGCCTTCCTATACACAAACAATAAATCTGAAGAATAAGAAATCAAAAAAACCATCCCTTTTGTTATTGAAACAAAAAAAATCAAATATTTGGGAATAAATCTAACAAAAGAGATAAAGGACCTATACAAAGAAAACTATAAAACACTGTTAAAAGAAATAGAAGAAGACACAAAGAAATGGAGAGACATCCCCTGCTCGTGGATTGGAAGAATAAACATTATTAAAATGGCCATCCTTCCAAAAGCAATATACAGATTCAATGCTATTCCAATCAAAATTTCAATGTCATTCTTCAAAGAAATAGAACAATTATTGATGAAATTCATATGGCATCACAAAAAACCCCGAATAGCCAAAGCTCTCCTGAAAAAAAAAGAAGGGAATGGAGGCATTACACTCCCAGACTTCAAACTATACTACAAAGCCATAATCATCAAAACTGCATGGTATTGGAACAAAAACAGACATACAGACCAATGGAATCGAATAGAAAATCCAGAAATAAATCCACAGATTTATGGTCAACTAATCTTTGACAAAGGAGCAAAGACTATGCATTGGAGCAAAGAAAGTTTGTTCAATAAATGGTGCTGGGAAAACTGGGTCGCTACATGCAAAAGAATGAAGCTTGACCACTACCTCACACCATACACAAAAATCAACTCAAAATGGATTAAAGAACTAGACATAAGACCTGAAACCATAAAATATATAGAAGGAAATATAGGCGAAACACTACGTGATCTGCACATCAAAGACATCTTTACAGACACATCACCCAAAGCAGTGATAGTGAAGGCAAAGATAAACAGCTGGGACTACATCAAATTAAAGAGCTTCTGCACAGCAAAAGAGACAATAACAAAAACAAAGAGAAACCCCACCAACTGGGAGAACATTTTTGCACCCAACACTAATGATAAAGGACTGATCACAAAAATCTGCAAAGAGCTGATGAGACTCAGCAACAACAAAGAAAATAATCCAGTCAAAAAATGGGCAGAAGAGCTAAAAAGAAACTTCTCTGAAGAGGAAATGCAAATGGCCAACAGGCATATGAAAAAATGTTCAACATCACTTGCCATCAGGGAAATGCAAATCAAAACTACCATGAGATACCATCTTACACCAGTGAGAATGGCACATATTAAAAAAACTAGCAACAACAAATGCTGGCGAGGGTGTGGAGAAAAAGGAACTCTTCTGCACTGTTGGTGGGAGTGCAAACTGGTCCAACCACTGTGGAGAGCTGTGTGGAGATTTCTGGACCTACTAAACATAGAGCTTCCATATGATCCAGCAATTCCACTCCTAGGTATTTACCCAAAGGACACAGAAACATCAATTCCAAAGAACACCTGCACCCCTATGTTTATAGCAGCACTGTTTACAATAGCTAAGCTTTGGAAACAACCCAAATGCCCAAAAATAGATGACTGGATCAAGAAGATGTGGTACATATATACCATGGAATATTACTCAGCATTCAAAAAGATAAACACATGCAATTTGCAGCAACATGGATGGCGCTGGAAGGGATCATGCTCAGCGAAATAAGCCAAAAAGAAAAAGAAAATTACCGGATGGTCTCACTCATAGCAGGAATCTAGAAAACTTAAATAAGGGACCAGGAAAATGAATAACTATAAGAAAGTGAAAATCAAAATCAACAAAAAACTATGAACCAGAGACACTTTTAGGCGGGCGGGGGCGGGAGGGGAGGGATTGGGGTCAGAATGGGGGGCTGCAATTGTATGGGGAATATAACAATAAAAAAAAAAAAATAAAAAAAAAAAATAAAAGACTTATACTCTGATAGCTCTGGGCAAGATAGGACCATTTAATAGATTATTTTAATTATTTTGGTGGGATTGATCACATGGATGATGAATAGAAATTGAATAGACTAGAATAGATATTTCAGTAGAAAAGAGGTGGCTATGAGAAAGTTTATTAGAGGTTAAATCTACAGAATTTGATTACTGCTTAGGGATAGAGAGGGGACACAAAGCATTTGAGTCTGGAGGGGGAAAGGCCTTTTAAATTAAAAAAAAAAAAGCAAAGGATAGTTTTTCATCACACAAAATGATATGTTTACATATAAATGTTTACATATGAAGTGCTTGTCATCCAGAGCCAAAACATCTAGTCACATTGGGAAGACCTTCAGACTCATAAGCATTAGACACATGTAATTGGAAGTCTCTTTCAAAAAGATATGTTAAATTGTAAGACAGGTTTGTTTAACAAGCAGGGATAAATTAAAGGATCATTGAAGGGTGTAGTGCCAGGAAGGCACAGAGCTGGTTCTCTGATCTGAGCAGACGAGTAAAGGAGAATCTTGGAGCTCTCGGTAGCTATTTCAGGGTTTTATTGAGCTTTTACATGTAGTGTGGCAACCAGGTACATGGCAAGCAGGGGTTGGGGGATGGAGTTAGGAGGCTGGCAGGCCTCCCAGCCCCTGGGAATCTTCACTCTTTATTGGACTCTTTCACACTCTTGTGGCCTCTGCTTCTGACTCTCCTGCTTCTCTTTCCTTCTGGTAATTCCTGGCACTCTACACCACTCCACTCCACAAAAGTGAATAGAATACAACTGAATATAACAATGTAACAAAATCCAGGCGCCCACCATCAGGCATGCATTCAGGACCACAGGGATCCATCATCAATCCTAATGGTGGGAGGGCAGAAAAGACTGACATTTACCCTACAAAGGTGTTAAAGCATTAGCAATATATGGAAAGAGAATTGGGGTCCTCGGAAACCATAGCCTATGAGAGTACTTGTCAAACTTGTGGAAGAGATGGTGTCCTGAATTTTGTAGTAGACATATTAAGGGTCTTCTTCATTTTTTTCAAGGGAGTCTTCCACTCTAAAATTTGTTACCTAACCCACAGATGTCATGCACTCTGAATGTAATATTTTGATTGTGAATAACAGTCACCTCCATATCACTAACATCTTATCGAAGCCTTTTGGTCTTCTACATGGTCTTTTATTTGAAGGTTTGGTGTTAAGTTCACAAAGAAATTCTTTTTTTTTTTTTTTTTTTAGAGATTTATTTACGCATACAAGAACTGGGGTGGAAGCCAGAGATGCGAGGGGTGAGAGGATTCACCAGAGACAGATTGGGGAGCAAAATAGGTGGATCTACTGAAATACACTGCTGAGGGGAGGGTCTACTGCCCATATATATGGGTTATATATGGGTTAGCTCCCTGGCCAGGGATCAAAGTCGTGTTGCAGTGGCTGGTGATTGCTTGATAGTGCTGGGACTTTAACCCTGAGCCACCAGGAAGACCCAAGAGATTCTTTTTTAATGTTTATAATGTCACCTTCAAGGTAAACCTGTGAAATTGTCTTTGCTTTAATACACTTACTTTTTGACAGATTTGCTTTTCAATCTCTAATCTTTATCCATAGTTACAAGGTCATAAATGTTCAAATACATTGTCACATTTAGGGAAATAATTGACCAGAACTAGAATGGAATGCCTTATAATGTGGAAGACATAAATATAAATTAAGGAGCATGCAGAAAAAAAAAAAAAAACCAGTAGAAAATGAAAAATTCCAACAATCTTTGAGAATATTTTGTCAAGAAGATGGTGGGATAGGGAAGAAAATATGGCATCAAAAGTCAAGAGGCAGTAAGCATGTAGTCATTTGAATATCTGCTAAATGTAAATCAGTATGCTAGTAGAATATACTTAAATGTGGCATGTAAAAGCTTCACTATTTAATTGGGTAATAAATAGGATAGCATATTGAGTTAAATTGGTTTGTGTACAAGTTTTAAGAGACATGGATTCAGAAACATAACTAGTTTTTTGTGACTAGACTCAGTTGATACATCTGAAAAATGAGAGTAGTCTACCTTACTGTATGTTTTAAAAGTTAAAAGCAATGTATGTATGCTTTCTTGCACAGACATTCCCCAAACACCAAATATTTTGTAGTTGGGATAGTTTATTATTCATAATGATAGGTATTATGTGAAGAGGCTTTATGGCTTGTGATCTCACATTGATCTGGAATACCTTTCCCCCTGGCATATCTAAATATCAAGAAATTTAGAATCATGTCTTCAAAAAGTTATTAGAATTTGTCATGTTAATCCATTGTATTCTTTTTTTACAGGAAGTACTTAAACAGCTACAAGGAAGTATTGAAGATGAAGTTATGACTTCTGGACAGATTGATTTATTAGAGCGCCTCAAAGGTAAATTTTTAAAAAGTGTTTTAAAGTAATTTTAAAGCTCCGGTGTCAGATGTATATATCCAAATTTAGCTTCTCTTGATTTACATGTTGGTACCAATTTTCTTGGTGTGTGTTACAGCCTTACCCGTAAGGATGTCATTGTTAAAGTACGAATATGTAAGAAGTCTATTTGCCAGTCATGTCTTCAGTTGAACACTTAAACTGGCTTTGAATAAACTGTTTTGGATCACTTCCTTGAAAATTTTTTTTAAACCTCATTGCTATTCTGGTGATCACTAAATAGACCTCTAATAAGCCATAGAGTATCCTGTACTTCAAATGTGAAGAAATAGTACTCATCTTTGTTCCTTCCAGTATAGAAATGTTTTATCTTCTCACATATATAAACTGATTATAAAGCATATGTTGCAGAATTTCTAAAGGGTGTCTTTTTCACTTTGTTGGTTAAAGATTTGTCGTGCAGCCATCCCATGCTGGGTGGGTTCATTGTCAATTCTCGCAGATGGAAAAAAAAGAGAATTTGGAGCCTTTGATAGATTTTGCAGTCCTTTAATGCTGCTACAGGGGACCAGGCAAACAGGAAAAGAGAGAGTCCAGCTGCTTAGAGAAACAGAATAGCAGTTCAACTGGTAGTCCCCTTTACACTGTTAAGTGCCCCTAGCCATACAACTGATACATTGTTGCAAATGCATACCCAAATAGTGAAAAACAGCATTTCAAAGTATGGGCTCTCTGTTGTGTAGAAAGAGAAAAGTAACCTTTCAAGGTTCCATTGTCAAAAGAGAATGTCCTTACCTATAAATGAATCTAGGTGGTGAAATTACCTTTGGGTGCCCAAATACATTATTATCTAGCAGGAATTTATGAAAGGTCATTTTGTCTTCTTTTTCATTGACAAACTCCTTTCCCCCCTGATTCAAGTTGATTTGAGGAAAAGTTCAGCCATTCTGTTTTTAAATAATTGTTTATTCATATCTATCTGTGGCTTCCTTATTTAGAAATTGTAGAGGTATAGCCTTTATTAAAGTGTGAACTTAGCCATTTTCTGACCCCCCCCCACTTTCTTTTATTCTTTCTCCTACCTTCACATTTATCTAGAACAAAGAATCAGTGGGTTTCTCAGAGCATTAGCATTTATGACAAGGATTTCCTTGAATAATTTTGCTACTCAATAACTGCTATAATTTAGTACTCCTATAGGCTTCATGTAATATATGTAATATATTTTCAACAATTTTAAAATGGATTAAAGTTGAATGCTAAAATATAAACCTAAGATGTCACTTTTAAAGCAATATAATTGCATCAGCAATATCTCAGACCACTTAAAGCAAGTATTATATAAAAACTTGTCTCTGTTTAATTTAGAACTTAACTTAGATAGCAGTAATTTCCCAGGAGTGAAACTGCGAACAAAAATGTCCCTCCGTTCTTATGGAAGCCGTGAAGGATCCATCTCTAGTCGTTCAGGAGAGTGCAGTCCTGTTCCTATGGGTTCATTTCCAAGAAGAGGGCTTGTGAATGGAAGCAGAGAAAATACTGGTTATTTAGAAGAACTTGAGAAAGAGAGGTAACTTTTCTTCATTAAATAGTAAATTGTATGCTCCAGTTTTGCTTTTATTTTGTCATTCACTGAAGATATGAATTATAAAGCATGTCTGGTGAGTGATCACTAACATTTAACATTTTATTAATTCAAAGACAGTATGTTATTGATTGTACTTACATTATTTTTTTTTAAGATTATTTATTTATACAAGCACTGGGTACAGTCAGAAGCACGGGAGGGTGAGAGAATTCACCAGAGCCAGAGCAGGGAGCAGAACAGGCAGAAGGACCGAAGTACACTGCTGAGGGGAGCAGCGGGAGGCAGGAGGGGTCTGCGCGCCATGTGGGACCCTCCTCTGGTGACTGGGGATCGAACCAGCGCTGCAGAGGCTACGGGCAGCTTCGCAACCCAGCACTCAACCACTGTGCCACCGGGGAGGCCCTGATTGTACTTATATTAAATCTAAAAATATAACTGAGGCAATTTCTTGATATTCTAAGACTTTGTCGCTTAAATACTTCAACTGCTCTGTACACTGAATAATCACATGATCATAATTGATGTCTGTTAAATTATGGAACTGATTTTTTAATGAATATCTTGTTATCTTTTGAATTGAAGTCATTAAATTTTAGATCCTACATCCCATATAATGTGGCTATTTTTATTATGGAAATCCTATTCATACAGGGAAGCAAGGGTCACTAAAACCAGCCAAGGACACTGCCCTAATAATATAGTGATCACTGAGGTTTTCAGCCCCACACACAATTGCAAAACTACTCAGGTTCAGAGAACAATGGGATTTATTTAACAAATGAGGGAAAAACAAAGAGTTAATGAGGCCAAAAATTACCTTTACCTCACCTGAAGCGGTGTCCAGTGTTTTTAAGTCCTAAACAAAAGCAGCTAGGATGGCGTTTTCCCACCACTGATGACACAGAGCTCCTCTCCCAAACAATAGGCCACATGCCACAATAGTCCATGTGCCCAAGATGGCGTCTTTCTGCCTCTGCTGACCTGGAGCATGCAGCAGCCAGACTGTATGCCAGGATCCAACTCATGAAGACAACAGAAGATGTAACAGGAGATGCTCCCGGAGCTGCTGAGATGTCCCAGCACAGCACCAGACAAGTGATAGTCAAAACGGCAGTTGGAGCAGCGAAATGACACTGTAAACAGCTACACTCACAGCTCAGTGAGGCACCTGGCTTCACGTCTTCTTCTTCTCTGCCATGCTGTAACAGCAGCAAAACCAGGAACAGTTTCAGTTGCTCGGCTAGTTGCAAAGCCTCGGAACTTTTCTCTCTGAGATTGGCTACTGGAGGCCTCCACCTGCAGAGGCCCACAGCAGCCTTCTAGAAGACCATGAGGTGGGGGCTGAAAACACTGACTCCTTAAATGCTGAATCTGAAGTGCTGAATCTTGAAGACTGAGTAATCCACACCTCCTTCTGCTGTCACTTATATTTCTTTTCAGTCACTGCACCCCAAAATGCAATACTTTCTAACCCTCATGAACACTCCCCTCTATGGGGCACCCCCTGAAGTCTTTGACTTCAGCCACTGGTTACATTATCACAGGTGGCCACAGTGAAACATTTCTTAATTTATCATTTTCAATATCTAAAAAACATTGCTTGACATATACAATGAATCTATTTTTCACATCTAATGTATTAATTTTTCTCTTCTTCAAATTAATGTATAGAAAATGCCCATCTTATCTCACTGAAAGATAAAAGCCCTTTCATTACTTTCTCTCTGATTTGGGTGTGCCCATCTATAAAAATAGGGATAGTCATCTGAACAGAAGTAGTGCTAAGCTTTCTGTCAATCTCTATGTCAGATTTTAAACCAGGACTATTTGTGTCTGACAGCATAACAGTCTCCTGAAAAATAAGATACTAAGGCCCATCTTCCCTCTCATCATCTTGTTTGAGCTCTATTAAGATGCAAAGGACTTCTGAGCATACAGAGTTTCCTAGGAACTCATTTTGTTTCATGTACATAAAGTTCTGCTTTTTTGTTAGTAGAGAAAAGTGGTAGAGTGTGAGAGTGACTCCAACATATCTTGTGTCCTCTTGGTTCTCATTGTGTGGGAGGGAGGTAAATTGAGACTTTCTGTAGCTGACATCTTTATTTTGTTTTCACACATGATGTATAGTTTGGTTAAGGCTAGTTTCAAACTCATTTTCCTTCTTCATCACTCTTTGATAAGAAATTTGATGAGTCTGATTCTCATTTCTTTGTAGCCAACTGTTTTTGTTCCTTTGAAACTTTTAGAATGCCATGATATTTGTGTTTTATTCATCATGCTGGATATTCACTGTTTCTTTTGATCTAGAGGTTTATCTTCTTTAGCTTTTGAAATTTGTGTTATTTCCATGATGGTTTCCTTCTACTTTTCCTATTCTTCTTTCTAGACCTCTCTCATGTCATAGATTAACTCTATGTTTATTACCTCATTTTCTGTTTTGCTCACAATAAGTACTAGAAGTAGTCAACCCTGGTCCTTAATTATGTAACTTTTTTAAATCTCACTTTTCTAGTCTATAGAAATAGCATAAGAATAACTACTAGAGAACCAGCTCCTGTTTCTGGCCCACAGTCTACTGCCCATCTTAGTCTAGACCACCACTTCTTCACACTGACATGCCTCTGAAAGCCACTACCTCCGCTCTAGTAAAGATTGAAATAATAGGTGGAACACACCTGGGTAATCCAGAAATCTTAGAGGGAAGTACTGAAAAATATATGGCAAGCTCCATTTGGCAAGCCTTCTGATAACTTAATTTGGGGAAAAAAGAATATTGATCACATTCTCCTTGCAAGACACAGGAGATAGCATACCTTCATGCCTTCAGAAGAAACTACTAAGAAAACATCTGGCTTCTGAAGGAGGAGGACAGATCCATGTTGTAATGACTTTTTGATATTTATTTTTTAAAGATTTATTGATTTATGCATGCAAGAACTGGGGTACAGGCAAGTGGTGCGGAGGATGAGAGGATTCACCAGAAACAGAGTGAGGAACAGAATAGGCGGATTGACACACTGCAGAGGGAAGCAGCAGGCAAGACAGGAGAGGTCTGTTGCACCATGTGGATAGCTCCTTGGCTAGCCGGAGACTAAACTCGGGCTGCAGAAGCTGCAGGTAGCTTCACAGTGCTGTGCTTAACCCCTTGCACCATCAGAGAGGCCTGACTTTTTGGTATTTAAGACTCCTTGAAGAAAGAGATTCAGCTCATCAGCATCATTATCATAAAGCAGTTCGTAACAGGACTCCCACAAGGCTTCAGAGTTTTTATGGTGGAAGTCATTCCTGCACCAGGGAACTGTACCATATGCTAATGGTTGAGCCATTTTTGCCCCAAAACAAGAGCGGTCCTCATAGAGACTACTGAGAAGCTAGGACTCTGGTGCCATTCAAAAGGAACTTACTGTAGTTCCTGGGCAGACAGCTTCATGCTCAGGGGTGGGTGTAATCAACAAGACTGTGGCTCCAGTGGTGGCTCTTGCCAAGTAGCCTAGAATTTTTTATATGGGTATTGCCATGCAACAGATCACAGTTGCTGGAAAAAGCCCCAGGAAGTATTACTGGAAGTATGGAGTTGTGGCCACCTATCACCACCAAATGCCAATAAAGTAGACAGGAATTGAATCTTTAAGGTGTACTTTAATCAGACAGCTAGCAATCTGGAGGACAGGTGGCTAACACCCTAAAGAAACCATCTTAATATTTCATTTCCAGCTGCCTTTTTATAGTGAGTTGAACAAAGACAGTTCAGTAAGCAGGCCTTCACTGCTGCTAGGAGGCTGTGATGTCCAACCCCCAAGGCTCCTTACCGCTCTCCTGGACTCCTGAACTCAGGCTCATCCCCCTGTGCTGAGGCTGCTCTTAAGATAGCACTGACTCCCTGCACTCCTCCAGAAGGGTCCTTGGGCTGGAAAATTAAACGTTAAACAAAGAACAGACAGACCATAAACAGCATGTGTAGGCAGATTTCCTGCTATACCATACATTGTGTCTTACCTCATCTCCTCCCCATTCCTAGCCCTTATCAGAAACACAGGACTTAAAGACCCTGAAAATAACACTAAAGCCAAAAGTTTAGGTTTTTATCCACTGTAGAACATAGAGTGAGGAGAGACGATATGCTTATCAGAGAGGCCTTCTAAAAAGACTTGGACTGTTTCAAAAAACAAGGAAAGCAAATGACCAGTAAACGTGTGCAGATAAATTTGACACTTAGAAAGGGAAGGAGACCATACCATTCATCTTTCCCTAATTAAATTTGTAACAATAAAGGGGGGAGATAACATCTTGTTTCCTGTGTTGCCAAGGCAAATGAAAAGGAAATGGTATCCTTTTGCTGTTTATGGTGTGACTATAAATTAGGACAATCTTTTTGGAGGGCAGTTTGGTAAAGTGTATCAAAAGCATTAAGCTATTAAAGTTACACACACTTTGTGCTGGTCACTGCACTCCTGGGAATTTTTTTTTTTTAATTTTAAGATTCAAAGAATGATGTATCAAGTGTTATAATAGTAAAGATTCAAAACAATCTGACTATCTAAAAATTAGAGATAAATTAGGCATTAGCTCTAATTGGATTATAAAGCAACTGACATCTTTTTTTTTCACAATTTTTAATCTCCTTAAGAATTGGTTGCTCTATAAAATGAAGTGAAAGTATTTACTGTAAGCATTAAAGTACTAATTTTGTTTTAAAATTTTACTTAAATGTACAAAAAGATTTCATATATTGTGTATTTACGGGGAAATGCTGGATAATGTTAATTTTGTTTATATATTTCTGTGTTTTCAGGTTTTTTCTATAATGAATGTAATCAAATAGTAAACTTGTTTTAAAAATAAAAAATGGGTTTGGAAAAATCTAGTTCTTGAACACAGTTACTGTTAAGCAGCATTTAATACAGTAATACTGTAACTGGTGGCTGAAGCCATAGACTGTTACTGGTGGTGCCCCCTGGAGGGGATTGCTGTGAGGATGGATAGGCCCAGGGAAAATGCTAAAAAGTATGGCATTTGGGGCCTGGAGGGACTGATAAGTAATGTAAGTGACTGCAGAAGAGGGCACCAATTCATTCGGTCTTTAGGATTCAGCGGGTTTTCAGATCTTCAGCATTTGGGGTCAGCAAATTCCGGCCCCCACTACTGCCAGTCTTCTAGAAGGCTGTTATGGGCATCTGAACATGCGAGGCCTCTAGCAGCCAACCTCAGAGAGGAAAAGTTTGGAGACTTTCAAGTAGCCAAGCAAGTGAAACTGTTCCTTGTTTTGCTGCTGTTACCGCCTGGAAAGTGAAGACCCACAGCCAGGTGCCTCACTGAGCTATATGTGTGTGTGGTGGGGGGGGGTTGTCCCTGTTTATCAGGTCATTCAGCCACTGCAGTGGTTGTCTTCAGTATTGCTTGTCTGGTGATGTGCTGGGGCATCCAAGCAGCTCTGGGAGCGTCTCCTGTTGTGTCTTCTGTTGTCTTCGTGAGTTGGAACCAGGCCTAGAGTCTGACTGCCGCATGCTCCTGGTTAACAGAGGCAGAAAAGCACCATCTTGGATGCATGGCCTATTCGGGAGAGGAACTCGGCATCCTTAGTGGTGGGAAGATGCCATCTTAACTCCTTTTGTTTTAGAACTGAAAAACACTGGACACTGCTTCAGGTGAGGTAAAGACCATTTTTGGCCTGAGTAACTCTTTGTTTTTCCATGGTTTGTTAAATAAATCCCATTGTTGTTGTTTCTGAGCCTGAGTAGTCTTGCAGTTGTACGCATGGGTAAAGAACTCCGTGACCAGTAAATGATTTGGCAGTGTCATTGGCCAGTTTTAGTGCTGCTTATAGCAATAGTAAGAGGAGTTGTTTGAGTTCCATCTCTATTTTTTTTTTTTTGAAAAAAAAGGGGGGCGCAGAGATTGAGCACTGGGCTGCAAGGCTGCCCACAGCCTCTGCAGCGCCCATTAGTTCCCCAGCCGCCGCCGAGGGTCCCACCAAAAAAAAAAAAAAAAAAAGGATCATTAATCACTTGTATAGTCAGAATGATCCTTGGGTTTTACAACAACTTGAGAAAAACTGGGTACTTAAAACTTAACTAGTTTTAAACTAAGAGACTATCTACACATTATAGTGTCAGATATTTTTTAAATTCATATTTGACTTTGTTCTATGTCTTTTTAAGTTCATGAATAATTTACATGAGTTAGTGGTTTTGTTATTTAAATAAAAAAAAAAAAATGGAAGCTCTCTCTCCCCTCTTCCAAATCGCCCTCAAAAGTTTTGAAGATTAAACTAGCTTTTTTAAAAAGTACTTCATACTATATCTGGTACATGGAGCATTTAATAAATATTAGCTATTGTCTGTTAACCATTCATACATTTAACAGATACTCATTAAATCCCTGTTAAAAATGTACTATGTTCAGGCCTCCCCAGTGGCGCAGCGGTTGAACGCTGGGTTGCGAAGCTGCCCGCAGCCTCTGCAGCACTGGTTTGATCCCCCGCCCCTGGGCGAGGGTGCCACATGGCACGCAGACCTCTCCTGCTGCCCACTGCTCCCCTCAGCAGTGTACTTCGTCAGTCTGCCTGCTCTGCTCTCCCCTCTCGCTCTGGTGAATTCTCTCACCCTCCCGCTCTTCTGACAGTACCCAGTGCTTGTATAAATAAATAAATCTTTAAAAAAAAAAAAAGTTTAAAAAAAAGTACTATGTTCTTTTAGGTAAAGTGAGTTAGCTTGAGGACTGCATGAGATTGCATGAGGACATGAGATTACATGAGGAAGCATTTTTTTTGCATTAAAAAATTTTGTTGAAGTATAATTGACATATACTAGTTTCAGGCATATAACGTAATGATTCACTATTTTGTGTATTTTGAAATGATTGCCATAAAAGTCTAGTTAACATCTATCACTACAAATAGTTAAAAAAAAATTTCTTGTAATGAGAACTTTTAAGATTTACTCATCTTAGCAACTTTCAAATATATAATACAGTATTAGTAACTATAATCACCAAACTGTATATTATATCCCGTGATTCATTTTATGACAGGACATTTGTACCTTTTGAGACCGTTCACCATTTTGTCCATCCCCTGCTTCCGACTACCACCAGTATATTCTGTCTGTAAGTTCAGTTAGAGGACAGAGCTAATTCTTTTTAAAAGTCCACATGTAAGTGAGATCATGCAGTACTTGTGTTTCTCTGACTTATTTTACTTAGCATAAAATGGCCATAAAAGGTCCATCAGCATTGTTGTACATGGCAACATTTCCTTCTTTTTATGGCTAAATAATATTCTATTGTGTATATGCCACGTTCTCTGTGTCTATTCATAGATGCTTAGGTTATTTCTTTGTCTTGGCTATTGGAAGTAAAACTTTTCAATGAGCAGCATTCTTGAGTTAGAGTTTTCATTTCCTTTAGCTGAATACCTAGAAGTAGAATCGCTGTTTAATTTTTTGAGTAACACCCATTTTGTTTAATGTAGCTGCATCAGCTTACATTCCTACCAGCATTGCACCATGCTTCCCTTTTCTGCACATTCTTGACATCACTTGTGATTTCTTGTCTTTTTGGTAATAGCCATTCTAGTAAGGGTGAGTTGATATCTCATTGTAATTTCATTTTCATTTCCCTGATGATCAGTGTTGTTGAGCACCTTTTCACATACATGTTGTCCATTGGTATGTTTACTTTGGTAAAATGTCTATTCAGTTCCTCTGGCCATTTTTTAATCAAATTTTTTTTTGCTATTGAATTATATTCTTTTTATATTTTGGATATTAATCCCTTTGTCAGATAGGATTTGCAAATATTGTAGTTTGCCTTTTTATTTTCTTGATGGTTTTCTTTGCTATGTAGAAGCTTTCTAATTTGATGTAGTCTCACTTGTTTACTTTTCAATTAGCTGCCTTTGCTTTTGGAGTCAAATCCAAAAAATCATCATCAAGTTCAATATCAAGAAGCTCACTACCTCAGTTTTCCTCCAGGAGTTTTATATCTTACATTCAAGTCTTGAATCCATTTTGAGTTAATTTTTGAGTATGGTGTAAGATGAAGGTTCAATTACATTCTTTTGCCAGTTGCTGGCCGAGTGTTACCAACACCATTTATTGAGGCAGATTTCCTTTCCCCGTTGCATATTCTTGATCCATTGTCATAAGTTATCTAACTCTATTATGTTGCATTCATCTGTGTCTGTGTTTATGCCAGTATCACACTGTTTTTTATTACTATGGCTTTGTAACATAGTTTGGAAACTAGGATGCATAATGCCTATCCTTATGTTCTCAATATTGCTTTTTAAGGATTGTTTACACTATTCAGCATCTTTTGTGATACCATACAAATTTTAGAATTGTTCTATTTAATGATTGTATTAATCTAAGTCTCATCTTCAAAAATCCAGAATCATATGTTTTCCATTTATTTATTAGTAGTATTTTTGTTTAAAAAGGAAGCTTTACAAACACTTTAGAAAAATTACCATTATCCATTATGTACTGGCATTGTGTAAACTTAACTTTTTTTCAAAAACAGATCATTACTTCTTGCTGATCTTGACAAAGAAGAAAAGGAAAAAGACTGGTATTATGCTCAACTTCAGAATCTCACAAAAAGAATAGATAGTCTTCCTTTAACTGAAAATGTAAGTAACTTGGCAATATGACTTACTTTAGACTTTAATAACTTCACCTTTAATAGTACATAGGTTAGCTATTAAAAGTTCAAGATTACTGCATTTATAGTTACTTTTAAACTATCATATATTTATCCAACTTTAAACCTGAATTTATAATAGTGAATGAATATTTTTTATAAAGATGATAAAACTTCATTATGCTTAAGTATTTATTTTAAGCCTCTAATTAAATCTATTACATATTCCAAGATTTAACTAAGTGACTGGTTTTTTATCCTGTACGTTGAATTGCCAAAGCATACTCTAGAAATGTTTATTACCATCTATCTACTTTTTGAACCACATTACAGGAATCATGCTATATAGTTTTTGCAATTAAGCTATCTGAATATAATTTGAGTCCTATTCTAGTTATTACAAATAACAATTGCTACTGGAATGGATCTTAGAACTTTTTGCCAATGCAAAAATATTCTTGTTTTGCAACTATAGCTATGTAAAAAGAATTTAATCTTGTCAGCTTCTTCCACCCAACCTTTTCTTGTCACCTATTTCATTCATGGAATGGCACATATAAAAGCATTTCTAAAATACATTACTAGATGTTGTCCATAGGTTTTTTTTAATTGTTAAAAAGAAAAATAGGGTAATTAAAATGTATTTTCCTCCTTCGCAACCCAGCGCTCAACCACTGTGCCACTGGGGAGGCCCCAGATTTTTCATTTTCTAATAGCATTTTTGAGAAAATATAATAAACAAAAAAGCAAAAATAGGAAGAAGGAAAATCTTTTCCAAAACATATACTTAGCCTGATTTTCTGAGTGGGCATTGTCTGGCAGGAGCTAGAACTAGAAGTTTAAGTGCTTACTCTCCTAGAGCAATCATCCAGGATTTTGAGAGGGAGAGACAGGACCACTCTCTCTGACAATGTCCTTAATATCTTCCCAGGAGTTATGGAGACACAAATAGTGAACAAATGCTTATCGGGAAGTGAAGATTTGCTCACCATTCAGTTTTGTAATTAGAATATACATAATTTCAGTGGACTGTGGTCAAGGATTATAAATGCCTTGGTGGTGGGTATGGAATGGTATCACATCTGAAGAGGTGTGATCCTATATCCGTGAATCATTTTTATTGTAAACCAGTGTTACCGCAATAAAAAAAATATGAAAATAAAAAAAGGAAAGAATTACATAATTTAGAGTTCAACTATGTACATGCAGTCAAATTCAGATAAGGGCTAAGATGTGTATGACAACTCAAAACCAATTGGTTAATATGTGAAACAAAGATAAATTGTCAAATATTCCTTTATCAATTTATTAAATAAGCATATATTTAATATCACATGTAAGAAATTATTATGGTCTGTTTGACAACTTTAGCAAACTTTATTTCATAGATATTTTCTAATTTCACAAATTTTGCTTTTATTTGGGAAGCCAGGTTAACATTTTCATATGGAAATACTTACCAGGATCTTAGACATTGTTTAAAACACCAGATTTAAACCACATTATTGCAACACACTTGTTGCAAAGAGGGATTGGGAAATGGGGACAAATGAGTGGAGTGATACTGGCTCATTGGGAATTAGAAATAACATGCAGACTAATTTGGGTAAGCCTATAAGAATATATTTTGTACTTGAATGTTATTTGTATATTGCAAGAAAAAAGGGTGAGAATTTCTCTAGCTTAAAATCATCATGCAATTTGTGATCCTTGGACCTACAGAATTCTATTCTGAATCAGACATGTGTCACACACAAATTTAATGGGCATCAGCATAGTACTTTATTTTCATGGCCCATTGTAACATCATTTCATCTAATCACATATTTAACTTCTTTTACATATTGGGGCATGTGTTTCATTACCTTGTCCTTTTTATACTTTTGTATGCCTGGTAGTTATTAGTGCTTAGAATTTCAATTAGAGAGTTAGTAAAATTTTTAATTAACTCTGTTAATTAATTTTTAATTAACTTTTTAATTAATTAATTTTTAATTAACCTCTGAGCAGAGGTACTTCTTTTCATTTGTTTCAACTTTGCTTTACTCTTGGATTTTTACCAAAAAGTTTGTTGCCTTTATCCTAACAATCTGTGGTTATTTATACTACAGAAAAGCTTTTTTTTTCTTAGCTGATTTCTTCATTTTACAAATGGAGAAGTTTCTTTCTTTTTTTTTTTTTTTAAGATTTATTTATGTGTACAATAGCTGGAGTACAGGCCAGAGGTGCGGGGGTGAGAGGATTCACCAGAGACAGAGTGGGCAACAAGAACAGGCAGATTGACCAAAGTACACTGCTGAGGGGAGCAGCTGGCGAGCCAGGAGAGGTCTGCTGTGCCATGTGGGTTGCTCCCAGCGGGGGGATTGAACTCTTGCTGCAGAGGCTGCGTACAGCTTCATAGGTTGCATCTTAACCCCTTGCGCCACCAGGGAGGCCCGAAGTTTCTCTTTTAAATTAACATTTTATAGCAATTGTTACTGTATATTGAGCATTAACTCAAGGATAATGGATTTTTTTAAATTTTCTTAATGTTGTCCACATTTACTTGCTGGGTTTGATAATAAAAAGTAATACCTCATCAACAGAGAAGAATGGTGAGGAACTGAAGATAAGCTCACCCTAACTGGACCAACTATGTATTTTAAGTGAAATGGTACAATTTAATTAAAGCCAGACTGAGCCTGCCATCTACAATCGAGTTCTAGTAGTCTGTGGAGTAAAAACAGTTTTCTCACACACAGTAATTTGTTTTCTTTATTGGTGTTTATTTTTTGTTTTGGGTTTTGTTTTTGGTTTTGGTTTTTTTTTTTGCTTTTAATGATTAATACACATTCACCTGATACTAACATCCCCTTCATTTGTGCTTTCAGTTTTCCTTACAAACAGATATGACCAGAAGGCAATTGGAATATGAAGCAAGGCAAATCAGAGTTGCAATGGAAGAGCAACTAGGTACTTGTCAGGATATGGAAAAACGAGCACAGGTAACTTCTTTATTAAACTAAAACAGCACTAGCTGGAGAAGAGCCCCTATAACTATGTGTAATGACTTTTACCTATGTTAATTAAATTTTCTTGTTAAAGATATTTATATGTCTGTCTTTGACACTGTTTGAAAATACAAATAATTTACCTTGGCCACTAATATAATCAGTATTCATATAATTATGCTTCTACCACATTTCCTTTCCTTGGTACTGTCTACTGTGCCTTGAGATTGTAGGAGGGGGAAAGAATTAGATGCAGGTCATTTGGTAGCTGATAGTTAGCTTAAGTTCTCCTCTGAGATTATTACTTTTTGTAATCTAAGTATGTATAATGACATTCAGAATATTTCACTGCTCTTTAGTTGTACACTGGAAAAAAAAAATCATTGGGAGTGATTAAATGAGATGGCTGGAAAAGAGTCCTGTATTTCTATTTTCAGCTAATGTCAAGATGAAATATAAACTAGCTTTACTATTTTAAGTATTTTATATACTATTATTGAATCTAGCCCTTTTGTAATTACTACAAGTGTTTGACTAATGTTTTAAAACCTGAAGAGGTTTTGCTGATTGCCGTATCTGTTTCAAACAAGAATGAGGATTTAAGAAAAAACTTTGGGGATAAATGGGAAGGAAAATACTATTAGAAAGATTTCCTCTAAAAAGCATTTAAAAGCAAGGCCCCATAATCCTATGTGTGGATTACATAGGATTACATACATTTTTGTATTCTGAAAAGATTTTTTTGTAGTTTTAAAATCACTGATATGGGACATTTTACATTTCCCATAGTGTAGTCTTTATCTTTTATGTGGTAGCATTTAAACATAATGTGTATTCTATTAATGCAAGAGTATGGCACTAGTCTAAGATGACACTTAGTCACCAGTACCATGATATATTTCATGCCTTTTAGTTTCACAATTAAGCCACATGCTTGACTAATAAATCCATTTATTAATTAGTAACATTGCAATTTTTTTTTTTTAAGATTTTTATTTATTTATTTATACAAGCACTGGGTACAGTCAGAAGCACGGGAGGGTGAGAGAATTCACTAGAGTGGAGAGCAGAACAGGCAGACTGATGAAATACACTGCTGAGGGGAGCAGTGGGCGGAGCAGGAGAGGTCTGTGCACCATGTGGAACCCTCACGGGCAGCCGGGGATCGAACTGGAGCTGCAGAGGCTGCGGGCAGCTTTGCAGCCCAGCGCTCAACCGTTGCACCACCAGGGGAGGCCCGACATTGCAATATTTTTATATAAAATATTCCTTTTCCATAACCTCATCTTTATCCCTCATCTTTATCTCATTCAAGTTAACTATCTTAAATGCCAAAAGTAAAACTTAGAAAATTGACCCTTCTAGAAACACACATGGATCTCTCTCCAGTATTGGGGTAAGAAGGCACTGAAGACAAAACTTACTGATTTTTAGAGATAAGATTGATAATTTTACTGTATCAAAATTAAGAAGACCTTCATCAGACACCTTAAAGAAATGAAAAGATGAGTTATAAATTGGGAAAAGATATTTATCGCCATATAACTGGCAAAAAATTAAAATCAATATAAAGAATTTCAAAAAAATAGTCTATTTAAAATGTATAATTATCATTTGAGATTTTATGGTATTAATTTAAAAAGAAAGGCAGGTTTGTTTATTTGCAGAACTGTAAGAAATTAATTTGTATGAGTGCATTTTTAGAGTAAGAATATATGAAATACATTATATAAAAGTTAATTTTTCTATTTCTATATTTGTTTTTAGAGATTCTTGGGCAAAATGAGAGGGTGGGTGTGAAAATTTAAATGTAAATAGATATATTCCAGATACCTAAATCTGTATTCTAAAAAGACAGATTAACATGAGTTCTTGGCCATATTTTTTTTTTTTTCAGACATGTGCCAGTTTAGTCATTTTTTCCTAAAATAGAGTTTTTGTTCATTTTGGCAGTTAGTATTCTAAGGAAATTTTATTCCCTGTTTTTAGAAATGAAACATGATCCATTTATTTTGGAAATAACCATAAGAAGGTTAGGAGTGAAGTAATACTATAGACAAAGTGAAAAATCAAGTAATAGAAATGTGGGGCTTCTCCGTTGGCTCAAGGGGTTAAGTGTCAGTACTCTGAAGCCATCTGCAGCCACTGAGTTCGATCCCTGCCCAAGGAGCTAACCCACATAGTGCAGCAGACATCTCCTGTCTTGCCTGCTGCTCCCTTCAGCAGTGTATTTCAGTACATCTGCCTATTCTGCTCCCCCTGCACATCTCTGGACTGTACCATAGCTCTTGTGTGCATAAAGAAATAAATCTTTTTTTTTTTTAATATCTTCTTTTTTTTTAAGATTTATTTATTTGTTTATACAAGCACTGGGTACAGTGAGAAGTGTGGGAGGGTGAGAGAATTCACCAGAGCCAGAGCGGGGAGCAGAGCAGGCAGAAGGACCGAAGTACACTGCTGAGGGCAGCAGTGGGCGGCAGGAGAGGTCTGCGTGCCATGTGGGACCCTCCTCCGGTGGCCAGGGAGCAGCTGGGAATCAAACCAGTGCTGCAGAGGCTGCGGGCAGCTTTGCAACCCAGCGCTCAACTGCTGTGCCACCGGGGAGGCCCCAAAGAAATCTTAAAAAAAAAAAAAAAAAATGTTTGTAGCATATATAAGAAGTTAATATACCTAGTGCTTGGGGATAACAAATCATTTGCAAGCAAGACAACCAAATATACCAGAAGATGTGAATAATCCCAGTACAAAGTAAGTGCCAGTGATTATAAACAATTGTGAAAAGATGCTTAAATGTCACATATCAGGCAGTGTAACATAAAATAAAACTGTTTTTGATGCTGGTTGTTTTGGTTAGTCAGTTGGTTGGGTGGTAGTAGAGTGTTGGGGGGGTAGATTTTATGCCTGTCAGACTGACAGCTTTAAAATTTGATGACGTGCAATATTGTTGAGTGTGAGAGTAAGAAGCATTGTCTACCCTGTTTTTTTTTACCCGGGTTCTTGTATAAATAAATAAATCTTTAAGAAAAGAAAAAATAAATTGATACATTTGTAAAAGATATTGTCAAAGTTTAAATGCCTATGTGCTCTGACTCTAATTCTATGTGTCCTACAGAAATATTTACCTAAGGCATTAAGAATTATAGGTATAATTTTTATGGTAGTATTGTAACACAATAAGTCATTACAAGAAACAATTTCACTATCATTTGGGTATTTAGTAAATCATTTAAATCAATAGTTATGCAAGTTTTAATAATAATAAGGTGGTGGGATAAGGAAAACACAGGGACTATAGAGCACTCCTTTCTCTCCTAATTCTGATTGTGACTCAACATGTAAAATGAGATGTCCACCTATTGGACCTGGAAGTGAATTTTGGGGGGACTTGAGACCATGAGAAAAAATGTAGGAGTTCATTTGCAAGGAAAAGGAATAGATAAGAATTGAAAGAAAAAGTTTTTTTTTTATTATTAAGTCTCAGAAATCAGAAGGAAAATTTATATTGAAGAAAATGGAGATTAAGAGGTTATAGCCATTGTCATTAACATAGTTATTATTTTATGTTATTATTTTATGTCTCAAAGGTCCACTAATACAGTTTTTTCCCCATAGGAAACTAATGCAGGAATTAAAGGTGGCAAATCAGTAATGTTTTCCCCACTTCCCATACTTGTAGAGATTTATTATGCACTGTAGTCAAGTAGTGGTTAGATTATAAATAATGTTGCCATGGGTGAGAGTAAACCCTAGTTTCTGGTGGTTAATTATATTTTTATCATCTACCCTTTCTTCATTTCTTTTGCTTTCAAGCAAGACTTGAAAAAATATGTGTGTATGATGATGTTCATGAATAATAATGAATATAATCTAAGTCCTAGTATTATTATCTGATCCCCATTAAAAATTAGCTCCTGTTTTAGTTGTGCCTTGACTTTAAGCAAGTCATTATATATTTCATCAACTCTAAGGTACTTTTGAGGTTGATTTTTTTTTTTTTTTTTCATAGAAAGTATATAAAGGATGGGCCTCCCTGGTGGCACAGCTGCCCGCCGCCTCTGCAGCGCCGGTTCGATCCCCGGCTGCCTGCAAGGGTCCCACATGGCGTAACAGACCTCTCCCCTCAGGTCTGACAGACCTCCCCGCTGCTCCCCTCAGCAGTGTATTTCGTCATTCTGCCTGTTCTGTTCCCCGCTCTGGCTCTGGTGAATTCTCTCACCCTCCCACACTGCTGACTGTACCCATTGCTTGTATAAATAAATAAATAAATCTTTTAAAAAAAAGTATATAAAGGATTACAAATCAATTAAAAAAAAGACAGTTTAAAATAGGGGAGGGCCTCCCTGGTTGCGCAGCGGGTTGAGCGCTGCGCTGTGAAGCTGTCAGCAGCCTCTGCTGTGAGGGTTTGATTCCTGGCCAGCCAGGGGAAAACCCACATGGCGTGGCAAACCTCTCCTACCTCGCCCACTGTTCCCCTCAGCAGTGTCTTCGGTCCATCTGCCTGTTCTGCACCCTGCTCCATCTCTGGTGAATTCTCTCACCCTCCCACGCCTCTGACCTGTACCCCGGTTCTTGTATAAATAAATAAAATCTTTAAAATAAAATAGGGGGAAAGATTTCACTTAAATACTTTCAAATGAGGTACCAAAATGGCCAATAAGGATATCAAAAGCTATTCAACATTGCTAGTCTTGGATTTTTTTTTTCCTTCCACCAAACCACATGTGCCTATACCCCACCTGCCTCCCTTCCTCAATCCCTCTTTCCCCTATTCCCTCTGGTAACCATTATCTTTTATTGAGTTCAAATTTTTATTCCTTCTATTGTTTGCTTGTAATTTTTTTGGGGGGGGGTATTTATATCCTGCTGATAAATGAAAACATCTAAATCTGTCTTTCACTTTTTGCCTGATTTCATGCAACGTAATCAACTGAATGTCCATTTTGTCCCAAATGGCATTTTATCTTCATAGCTGTGTGATACTCCATTGAATATAT